GTCTGGTTGAATCCAGGGATATAGTAGTATGCCAGCATACCATTGCAGCAGCTCCTTCTCTGCGCCACGCAATCGCTGTTCACCTGCGATACGCAAAGTCCCGCGGCAAATGGCAGCGGTGAAAATGCGGACGCGCAATCGACGGCCTCCACTTCTCACAGTCCTCCGCTCACGCAGGGCCATTCTACGTCTACGATTCTGGACTGCAAAACTAACCCCGCCCAGTACGTTCTTATCCAGGGATGGCAGCTGCTCGCCCTCGCCGTCTCGCTCTTCCTACCCAGGAACAATCGGCTACTCTGGTACCTGAAGTTACACTTGCAGAGAAACGCGGACACCAAGTGAGTCTTCCCCTCGATCGCCTCCATCGTTTCTACACTCTTTCTCCTTTGAAATTAAATTGATTTCCTGTGCCTGTTAGGACGGAGTGCGGCAAGTACGCGGCTTACTGCGAGAGAGCTCTGGAGAGAACGCTGCAGAACGGCGGGAGGGAGGTGAAACCCTCCAGAATGGAGGTCCTCTCGATACTGATGAAGAACCCCTATCATCACTCTCTGCCGCACGCGATACCGGTCCATTTTTTAAACGGCACCTACCAGGTGGTCAGCTTCGACGGCAGCACCACGATCGAGGAGTTCCTGAACACTCTGAACCAGGAGATCGGCTGTCGGGACGTCCATCAGTCCGGTTTCACGTTGTTCAGCGACGACCCGATTGAAAAGGACCTCGAGCACTTCATCGATCTCCAGGCGAAGGTAGTATTCGACGAGACGTTCCATATACTATGTATATAAAAGCGCCTTTTGTCTTTTGTCTTTTGTCTTTTGTGAGAATTGCGAGCTGGAGCGAACGAAGTAATAGAGAGAGTATTGAGAGAGTATCGCGAGTATTTAATTATAAGTTAAAATTAAGCTTGAAATTTACTTTGAACCTTGCCCTTGATTCATTAGAAATCCTACAGTACGTTTACCGATTTCTCTCCGCAGCTGTGCGACATCATCTCCAAGTGGGAGACAGCGCTGAGGGAGAAGGGCTCCGGGAAGTTCGAGAACACGAGGGTGATACAGCTGACGTACAAGTCGAGATGCTACTGGCGTCAAGCGGCTAAAATGGAGACCGACCGGGAGAGACTTCTCCTATGCTACCAAGTGAACCAGCAGGTCGTGCAGGGCAAGTTTCCGGTGAACCGTGAGCTCGCTTTCGAGCTAGCCTCGTTGATGGCTCAGGTAGCTAACGAAGGATCGCGGCTTTCGCCTTTCCACCTTTCACGGAATCACGCGACACGTTTCCCATGAATCTTGCAGATCGATTTCGGCGAGTATAACAACGACAAGGCGCGAGGCAGCGGGCCCGGCAGCAATCCGCATCATCTGGTTCTCCAGGCGCTGGACAAGTTCTACCCGGTTCGGTACCGGACGAACATCACTGCCGACCAGTTGAGGCAAGTAGACGAGGAGAGGCGAGAGGTAAATCGTGCGAACTTCTTCGAATAACAGCTAATCTTTCGGCGCAGGGAACTGCAAGAGAGACTGCAAGAGAAATGGATCGGCTTAAAGGGTCGTAGCGTACTAGACTGTGTTCGTATATATTTGACATGCACCAGAAAGTGGCCTTTCTTTGGAGCTACACTTTACCAAGCGAAGGTGAGATCTATATATATGTAGAGAGAGAGAGATGACAGTGAACACTAGGACTGAACGCATTCGTTTCGCAGTTGAAGCAAGCCGAACCGATCACCGTGTGGATAGCGGTTTCAGAGGACAGCGTGACGTTGTTGGAGCTGCAGACGATGGCGGTCATGTGTCGCTACAATTATGCGAACATCGTTACGTTCGGCGGGTGTCTGGACGACTTCATGCTCGTCGCCTGCCCCGACGAAGGCGCCGCGGAACAGAAACTGCTGTTCGCTCTTTCAAAGCCCAAGGTATGCTGTTTCGCGCCACCTTTTTTCGCGTTTCATGAGTTAACGTTCGTTCGCTGTTCGTAGATTTTGGAAATAACGCTGTTAATCGCCGACTACATGAATGCCTTGGGACACGCCCTACCGGGTACGCCGCAGATGAACACGTTGACCCGCAACGGATCCCACAGATCGATCAAATCCACTCTCAGACCTACCACTGGTTCGTACAATCGCATATCCTCGTACGCGTCCGTGATTTACCATGACTCGTTAACCGAACGATAATCGAATTAGGTTCAAGCTGTCTTCCAACGCAACCGGATATCTTGAAGTCGACGCCAGATCACCAAAGACCTTAAAAAGACTGGTCTCAATCCGATTCGGTAAGAGAAGCAAGTAAACGTGGCAGTTGGTTCGTGAAAGTCTGATCCTGCCAAGGCACTAAACTTTATACTCGAAGGGTACTACGCGTTCTGTATCATAAGAATCTTCGCGAAGAAACGATGCGAACACCGGATCACGCGCAACAGCTTGCGCTGTAGTTAACTTTAGTTGCGTATTCTTCTTCTTCTTCTTCTTCTTCTTCGTCTTCTTCTTCTTTTGTCTTTCGTTTTTTGTTCTCTTGTGTAAATGAAAACCGATGCTTACCAGAGAGAGAGAGACGTACGTATATACTTGTAAATATCCGACAGCATGCGAGACACGGATCCACGTGCACACACGTACACGCATACATAAAAAACACGGATATACTCGCACGCGCTCTGTGGTTCACGTTACACGACCGTCAAACGTGGGTGACTGAAAATCAATCGAAGAACGATCCGCAAACACTGCCTAAAAGTAACATTTAGAATGTCTAAAGTTACATCGAATAGTTTCGTTTCGGGGAAGCTGAAGCGTCACGCTGAGTCTTTTTGCTACCGTATTTATATACCAAATTCGAAACGTGTTTAGCGTTAGATGAAACTTACGTAAAAGGAAAGGAAAGAAGCGGTGTATCTCTCACATACTATGTATATAATTAATCGGAGTTAACATGGATGTTTAGAAGTCTAGCGAGAACGGACGATGCAGCCGGATACCCTTTGTTTCACACGCAAGAATACGCATCGAAAGAGAAGAGTCTTGAATTCTTGCCAAATCGACTGCAACATATTGAACAAAAAAGAACGCACGCGATCGTTGTTACTGAGAAGATGAGTGTGCAATGGTTTGTTTTTTCTTTAGTGACGATTTCTTTCGAACGCAAGACGCACGGTAGACACGGGAAAACTGTACCTACCGTCGCTGTAGATTCTACGTTTCGATTATGAATTGTATGATACGCGAATAGTTGTTTCGTTTCGTTACGAAGCCCCCCGCCCCCCGCCCCCTCCTCCGACACACACGAACACACCCTTACATTTTACGTCTCCGAATATTGTGTAATCTGAATCGTTAGAACGAGATCGGTATTGGACAGTAAGTACAGACAGTATTGAAACGTTAAATCTCATTGAAGCTCAATCGAATATGGGTGAAAGCTCTGTTTTAAATGGAAAACGACAAACGGAACAAGTTACGTAACGATTATATTATTTTGATAACAACTAGTCTCTGATATTTTCTATTTATTTAACGTCTAAGCGAATAAGTTCGTTTTATATAAGGACACGACCAAATAGATGTAATGGGAACGCAATTTTCTTTGACGATTAGTATCGTTCCTGCGTAATTGTATGTGCAACACATCAACAATTTTCTACTAATCGACACGGTGTGATCCCGTTAATAACTATAGAAGTTTTGTACGCGCTTGACGTGTCCTACGTAACTAGCAAATGTCTTCCTTCTCTTTAGTAACCAGAAATAAATAAAGCAAAGTTGAATGTAGGGCTTTCGTGCAATATTGTACAAGACTTCTATATAATTTTTGTAATTCCTGGGATAGGCTGAGTATGACTGTGCCTCTCTGAGCAGAATAGACAAAGTAAATTTTATGCACGGCTTTGTTTAGCGCATCGAAGAATTTATATAAAAAGAGAAAAAGAAAATGTGAAACGATCGAACCTCAGATTACTGGGAGCAGTACAAAGATATGCAAGAACGACATTTTGTCTTTAATTTTTATAATACGCAATTATAAGAAAGAAAAAAGAATGCTACTATTTCAGGTGCGTAGCACCTTTGTATTATGATGCAGTAAAGTCACTGGTTCTGTAAATATCACGTTAGGTTTAAGTATCGTAATTATAGTAGAGATCGAGAGAGAAGGAAACGGGCAGCTGATGATAAAAGTTAACAATCGTTATAGAAATTTCCTGCGATCGTCTTGGGCTGTCTGCGGTTATTCTACTGAGCCTACCACACCCCATATTTCTATTTATTATTTATTCGCATAAAATGACGCATAAAAAGCGCGAGCGGTGTACGGCGAGAAAAGCATTGTACTATTGTACAGAACAAGAAATAAACTGCTCGGATCTGCATTTTAAGAGATTATTTATTCACTTTGGGAATCATATACTTCGCCGCAATAATAATATATCGTGTATGTTTTCAAGCGTGTCCTTTATTTCACATCGATGCCTCCAATAAATATTTTTATATATATATTCACTCTACTTCTTCCGGAGTTACCGGATGCGTCAGCGGTATCACCGATTTTTTCTTCACGTCTCTGGAAAGTGCCTTTCTCATATCTGAAGAGGATACGCGAAATATTAATTACCAATGTCAAATACGATACACAGTGTAGCACCGTATCAAATAATTTTATACCAAAAGCATTTTCATCCGGATCCCCGTTATAATATTCCAGAACAGTCCTGTATACGATATATCCCAGTTGCTGGTACATCTTGATGGCTACCTTGTTACTGACTCTGACAAAAAGATCCACAAAATACGCTTGTTTTCTGAAACAAAATATATTTAGCAATCCTTTGAAATAATAAGACATCGATCGTTGTGTCGAAATCTCTGTTGAACTCACTTTTCTGAAACTTCTTCCAAAACTTTAATGAGCATTGCAGCTAGGCCTAATCTTCTATAATTAGAAGAGACTGTGAGAGCAGTTATGTGACCATGCCAATTCTCTCTGTATCCTTCTGCCTTTCCCATAACTTTGACAGTTTCAAATTAAGTAAACACCTAAGTTCTAAAATTTCATTTCATTCGTACATTTTCGAGTAAAAGGAATGAAACTTACTATAACCCATAATTTCTCCACTCGGTGATTCTGCTACTTGAAAATATTCTGGCCAATGGGCCAGATAATGTGTATAAAAAGTAAGTCCATACTACAAAAGAAATATAAGGAAAATTCTAGAACAATATCTTACAGTAATAACTATATAGAAATTTTGTCGT